CCTTCGCTCCCCTTCCCCCTTCCCCCTGATAAACCCTGCAGGAGTCGAACCTGTGACCTGGCACGAAAGAGGAGGAGTCATTGAGTGGGTTGGGTAACACCGGTGAACTCAATCAAGCCCCAGAAACTCACCAAGAATTGAACCCATGATCTGGCACAAAAGGGGTGGTGGATACTTTAGTCACTTAACGAAGACGTGAAGTAAACTCGGGTGAAAGTGAAGCTTCCCTTCCCCTGTGGGGACACCTCACCCCATCCCAGCATGGGTATTTTATTTTATTATATGATTAATTGATAAATAACTCAATTAATGATTTAATTGATCCATGACCGAATGTGCCCAGGGCACAGGCTCTAGCCAGCTCTTCGACTCGTTCAGTGTGTGATTTGACAGGAGCCTTTGTTGAACGTTGCCTGTAGTGTTAGACAGAACAGTTGTACGGAAGCTTCAGTGAACCTTTTCTCTCTCTCTCTCTCTCTCTCTCTCGCGCGCGCGCGCGCGCGTGGAGCCTTTGTTGAAAATTGCCCATATTATTAGACAGAATAGTTGTACGGATGCTTCAATAAACCTTCTCTCCCTCTCTTTCTCTTTGTTCAAAATTGCCGTTATTGTTTGACAGAACAGTTTTACGGATGCTGCAATAAACCTTCTCTCTCTCTCTCTCTCTCTCTCTCTCTCTCTCTCTCAGGTGCATTGAAGCATCCGTACAACTGTGCTGTCTAACAATACGGGCAATTTTCAACAAAGGCTCCTCTCTCTCTCTCTCTCTCTCTCTCTAAGGTGCATTGAAGCATCCGTACAACTGTGCTGCCTAACAATACGGGCAATTTTCAACAAAGGCTCCTCTCTCTCTCTCTCTCTCTCTGATCTCATTTGTGTCGTGGGAATCCTATACCTCTCAGGAACTCACTCGATGGCCCCCGATGTGCTTCCTGTGACACACGTTCTGGCTTTTCTGCTGCTGTGCGTCGTTCTAGGTGTTCTGTTCTCCACGATGGTGCTGGCACGCGTCAGTGATGTTTGAATCTGTTGATGGTCGGGCTGTTTGCATCTGTCTATGGTGGTGCCACAGGGGTTGGTGAACGTTTGCATCTGTCTATGATGGGCGGGGCAGGGATTGGTGAATGTTTGCCTCTGGCTATGGTGGGGAAGGTTACACAGAATGTGAATATGCTGCTGTCTTTTTCTGTTTCATCACTTGCATGTGCAACTGAGCGTTAACGATGTGGATAATACACGTGACAATATCCTGGACATGTGCAACTAGTGGTAGATATGGGGGATGAGGTGGGGTGCGAGGGGATGTGCATGATGATGACTTGCATAATGTCAACCAGGAAACCTTTGCCGAGCTGCTGGATGTGATCAGTGGGCGCGGAAGTGTCGCTGCGGCTGTTTGCTGTTGCAGCAGAGATGTCTTGGACATGCTTGCCACCGTAGTCTCTGACGCCAACCATGTCTCACTGCTGATGTTGGTGAGTAGTCGTACTTCATGCTTTATGGGAAGCTGCATCATAATCACCGTACCATTTGCCTTGTGTTGAAATAGCGTCAAAATTCCGTCAATCGTGTGACTGTGTGTGTGATTCTGTGTGTGACTCTGTGTGTGTGACTGTGTGTGTGACTGTGTGTGTGACTGTGTGTTGTCATGTTCACTATACACAAACTCCACTATAAAAGCATGACTGTGCCACACCTTTTCGTCAGAGTTTCTCTGACTCGTGAGTTCATTTCTTTTCTTTTCTTTTCTTTTCTTTTCTTTTTTTTTTTTTTTTTTTTTTTTTTTTTTGAACCCTCTTGCGAGGCCTCTATCCCAGCGGCGGTAAGAGAGCCACCGGGATTGAGGCTTCGGCTGTTGGACTGCTCCATCTATTGGTGGGGAGCGGCAGGTTGCGACATCATATTAACTCTTTTGTTTCCTTCTTACATTTTTTTGTTTGTTCGTTGTTGTTGTTGTTGTTGTTGTTGTTGTTGTTGTTGTTGTTGTTGTTGTTGTTGTTGTTGAACCTCGGAGGCAGCTTGAGGTGCTGGTAGGAGCAGTCGCCTCAAGCTGGTCCGGTGTAGGCTCCATCTAGTGGGGAGCAGCACCTGTCTCTTATACACATCTAGATGTACCAGTACTTTTGATGCCACCCTTGCCAGAAATGCCCTGTGGGCGCAAAGAAAAACGAACCGGCGCGGGCCTTCTTTTGGCTGGCGTAGCCAGCCATTTTGCTCCGGTAGGACGACGTCTGGAGCTTGTGGCGCGTTAACGACCCTGTCGGAGAAAAATGACTGGGAGAAGTACTGGTGGTTTAAATAGAGGAACCGGTGAGAAAAAGGCAAGAGTAGCCGCTAAAGTTATTGCATGCGTCAGGATTTGCACACAATCTGTTTCTTTTTTCCAACTGTTACAGATGCGAACAAACGTATGGCAGGACTACTGTTTACAATTTTAATTTACAATTACGTGTGTACTGTTTACACCATGCGGCCAGTAATGCTCACCGGGATTTTCTTCTGGTGGGTGAGTGAATGGTGCACAGTCTATTGCGAACCATTCACCCGCCAGGGAGTTCCTTCATATTGGATTGGGGATTATTGTGTGTGGCATCGTTCCAGGACCAATTTGGCCACTCCGGCCAATTGGGGCAATCTGGCCAATTGGGGCAATCTGGCCAATTGGGCCAATCTGGGCAAATCTGGCCAGTCTGGGGAATGGTCACCACCTCTGGCAAAGGAAGAGCAGCATATGACAGCACTGCATTGTGCATTTGAGCTTACAGCCAGGTTTTGCACATGGTTACAATAAGGAAAAAAAAAAAATTGAACCAAATTAGAGAAGTTAAAGAGTCTCAAGTGAGGGCTACCTAGCACAGCAGTCAGCAGCAGTCCTTAAATGCACCTCTGTAATGTTAGAATAAGTCAAGTTTTGCACATGGTTTTGCAATAAGGAAAACAATCCGAACGAAAAAGAAAGGGGGGGAAAAAAAGGCCTTCTCAAATGAGGGCTACCTAGTAGCAGTCAACAGCAGTCCTTAAATGGACCTCTGTAATGGTAGAAGGCACTTCTTCCTCAAAGAGGACGGCTGTGCTGTCCCTCCTTGTTGTGCTTGCAACGCTGCACATTCTTCTGTCACCGTGATTGTGTGACTGCGACTGTGTGCCTGTGTGACTGTGTGACTGTGTGACTGTGTGATCGTGACGAGCTCGAAGGGTGAGAGTGTCAGGGGCGTAAGAGAGCACTTGAGGCCTGTGACAACGACCATCCTGCATCAGAATCTGAAGTGCTTGCTTTTTCTTTTTCCACTGTTTTCTCTCAGTTCTGAATTCGGACCACATTTCCATTTGCAGGGGCCACGAGTACAAGGAGGCGTGGGGGGAAGGGAGTGGAGTGGGGGCAGCTAATTTTCTGTGTGTTGTGGTAACAGGAGCACGTATTCGCCTATCGCACGATTTTAACGGAGCTACCGAAAGGACTGCAGCATAGCAGAGGATGGGAGTGTGTGACTACCTGGTTGTGTGATATCAAGTGTGACAGTGCCCCGTAATGTGGCACTCTTCTTGGCTCGGCAGCGAAACTGACGAGTGGAAAAAGGGATTTTTTGAGCCGTCAACCTTAGGCTTGACAAGGCTATGTCCAATGGTTCACAATCTCTGATATAATAGGATAGCAGGTTTGCTAACCGATTGTAGGCAGCATCCAGTGTGCGTGGCAATGTGTGACAGTGTGTGGCATTTGTCTGGATATGGAAAAAGGTAGTGTGTGTGGCAATGTGTGACAGTGTGTGGCGTCTGTCTGGATATGGAAAAGCTGGCTAACGGTGACGTGTGTGCATGTGTGCTGTGTATTGTGATGGTGACTTCTGCTGCTGCAGCACAGTGACATGGGTGACGTGGAGCGGTCCTTGGTTCTTGATCAGTTCAGGGCCTTGATTGAGTACGAACGCATTGTCAGGGAAGACGAAGGGCTCGCTAAGGAAAGCGGCAGACATGAAAAGCAGATTGAAAGGAAAGTTCATGTGTTGGTGATGACTGATGCATGTTTACCGACACCGGCTTTGGGGGAGGCCCCTCTCGGTGTCCACTTGTTGCTCAATTACGAACTTCCAGTTAAAAAGGTAAGGCCAAGTCCGTTGTTGTTTTAGAAAGATGGATACCTGTGTGTGATAGCGGACGCTGAGGCTGGCAGCTCGAGAGAACAGAAATTATCCTGCAGGCCCATGTGAAACAAGAGCTTCAAAGTTCAAAGCAATGCTTCAATTCCCACCAGACAAACTTGCGATGTACAAGGTGCTTCCTTGGTTAGCTCAGAATTGATTGCACGAGGTCATCCCGAGTTTGACTAAGGCTGTTGATTATGGCCACTTCATGTCCCAACGAAGAATTGCCATATCCTGACTCATTAAAAAGAGGACGAGGAAAACAACAACAACAACAACAACAAGGAGGAGGAGAGGGTGGAAACAAGAGGAATGAGAGGGTGAGGAAGAGGAGGAGAGGCGGCTGGGGGGGGGGGGGGGGGGGGGGGGGGGGGGGGGGGGGGGAGGGAGGAGAAGAGAGGAATCACTGATGATCTCCTGAGACACCAATGATGAGTTTCAAGAATTCATAATTCTTGCAGAATCTTGTTTTTTTTTTCTTTTTCCGGTCTTCTTATTTCTGAAAGCAAAACCTATAGGAGCTATGGCTCCTTTCCTATTCTGAATAGCATCTGGCTGATCCATCTTCCCCCTGGCAAGTCAAAACAAATACATGGTATAGATCGTCAAACAGAGCTGTGCGGTAAACTGTAGGCAGAGAGGGAGGGAGAAGACGACAACAAACGAGGGGCTGTGACAAACTGTTTCGTCGGAGTTTCACCGACTCGTCAGGAGGCTGAACCCTCGTATACAGTCTGCAGAATCCCCTAACTGATTACGCTGTAAGTGATAATCCACCTTAAGCCCAGTTGTGGTTAAGCATCAACGACTGCCCCAGAACTGATACCCCTCTGAGGTGGTGGGGACCACCAACCACTGCCCTCAAGGTTACCTGTGGCGAAAATCAAAGCAGACTGTCACTCACCCACACCAGATGGACAACTCTACAGCCTGTCGGTTCACACCCCATCACATATATGTATATATATTATATAGAAACAACGGTGGACGCGGCATGTTTTGAAACCTTAAAGCCAAAAGAAACTCGCGGCGGCAAGGAAACCACGCTCCAACTCAAAATGAGCGATTTCGGTCCAAAAGTATCCGGTGGGCATTTTTTATTATTATTATTTTTTTCCCCTCTGACACCACGACCGACCCCTGTAAATATGACACCCGGTCTGACACCACGGCCGACCCCTGTAAATATGACACCCGGTCTGACACCACGGCCGTTGGTACTTCCGTCACGTTTTTGAACTCGGTGCGGTTTTCTTTGCCGACGCGTGTTTTTTTTGCCCATGCGATACTCAAAGGTGACATGAACGGACTTACCTCTATTGTGACAATATATATACACCCTCTCTAGACTCTCTCACTCTTCCCTCTGCTGTGGCTTGGAGGCTCTGATCAAGGAGGACCTTCAGCACGTACTCACTCCCTGTGAGCACGTCTTTCCCACCCTTTCTGCTTTATTTGTCTTAAACGACGACTAAACCAGAGTATAGACGATGTTTGCAAGCTCGTCTGTTGTCCCTACCCACCTCCTTACCCTTCTCCCGTTTTCTTCCGAATAGAACGTACGGTCCTTATAGCTTCAGTCCACAGATTCTTTATTTTTCTGTCAGGTTCTTCACTTGAGCCAACAGGTTTATAGATTCAGTGGCCAGTACCGTCTTCTTCCAAATAGAACATGCGGTCATTATATCTGTATTTGGGGCATCTTTCCGTCTGGATACAGGTACAATGACGGTACATTCTATTCCGGTGAAGACGCTAGTCTTCGTTTGCACCGTTCTGTCGTCCTTGCTCCTGATTGGCCCTCTCCTTACCTCTTTCTTGAATAACCGCTACCCGTATAGTTGGAGTTGTCCGAGCCCCCCTATTAATGCACACCTACATCCAATACTGTTTTTCATGAGCTTCCCAAGCATTGGGCGCCCAAAAAAAAAAAAAAAAAAAAAAAAAAAAACGAACTGACGAAGACGCCATTTTTCTTCTCTTTGAATGCCAATGCCAGCCATTCTGGTCTGGTAGCCGTGAGCCCCTGAAAATTTTGGATGTATGCAATCTCGGGGCTTGAAGATGATAAATCTCACTGAACCGCCACTCTCCGGGAGCTCCTGTCTTAGGTAGACGAGGCAATAGACGTCCTTTGGATCATTAGGTAGAAGAGGGGAATAGAATTAGAGAAGAGAAAGTCGGTTGAATCATAGGTAGAAGAGGCAATGGAGGCAATAGAGGCAATATGGATGCTTGAAATGGAATCCATGGTCGATGCAGCTCACAGTCTTAGGCAGGCCTCTCCAACAATATAGTCCTCGTAAGCAGTCTCAGGCGCCTTAAATAGATGCTTGAAATGACATCCATGGTCAAGGCAGCTAGCGGTCCTTAGGCCTGTTAAACAGTTCTAGGCCTCTTAAATAGGCCTCTTAAACTGCCACCAGTACATGGCCCCAGCCTTGCTGAAAAAGAAACTCATCACCTACGAAAATTTTGGAGGCTCGACCTATCGGACCACCATGGCTGGCTGCGCTAGGTGTTTTGGAAAAGCTTGGCGCGCAGTAAGGCACCTGCAGGCCCGGGTGTACCGGTGGTTTAAAACCGAAACCAGCAGTACTTTCAGAAGTCGCAGTGTGCATGCAGCCAGCCATTGGTACAGTGCCGCACCGTTTCCACTTGAATGAATTTATTCCACCGCCCCAGGCACATTCATCCCAGCAGGTCCCCGCGACTTTCGGAAGTAACTGGTGGTTTAGAATTTAAATCACCAGTACGTTTCCCTGCTATTTTTTCAGAGTTACGGCTTGCATGCTGCCGCAACTTTTGGGGCTTGGCCGCCGGAGCAAAATTGGAGGGTCTGTAGATTGGGTCGTGATCTTTCCAGGGAAAAAAAAAAAAAAAAAAAAAACATCGTTTCAACTTTCAACCGCGAAATAAATCGCGGCGGCAATTCGACCCATTTTCCATTTTTGCCACTCCGCCGGTTCTCTCCACTGTGCTACCGGTAGTCCTAACGAATCTGTGCTACCGGTCCCCCCAAATCTAGGACGGTGGGGGTAGTGGTGGTTTAAATGGAATCCTTTAACAATCCATCCCATTTGCAAAGGTCCATGTGCAAGGAAGATGAGCAATAGCAAATTCCAGAACTCAAACAGCATCATACATGNAGAGAGAGAGAGAGAGAGAGAGAGAGAGAGAGAGAGAGAGAGAGAGAGAGAGAGAGAGAGAGGCAATCTGCATTGAGAGATGCTGAAAAAACTTCAAGAGGGTAAGTTCTATGTATGTCACAAGAGGGACTGGATAGAGGGCGAGATGTGATAATCACTTGGGAAGTTTCGGTTGGTGCTTTGGTTTCTGAGCCACTTTTGCTTGCAACGGCTAAACCTGTTTTACTGTCTTACAACTTTACAGAGGGTTGACACAGTCACTATCAGTCGCTCGGCATCTCTCTCCATTGTTGCTGTTGTTGTTGTTGCCGGTTGCTTGTTGTTGTGTACCTACTTCTTGGTACTGTGATCCGAGCAAAGGTGTTCTCTGGAAGCTTTGCCACAACACCTTTGGGAAAGCACCTTGGCTATCCTACTCCACTGGTGGAGCTTGTTTCCTCAAACCACCACCACATCCAGTGGCTTCCAAAGATCACAGCAGCCATAACCATAGACAAGCAGGCAATGGATTCCGTACCTTCGTAAATGGTGGTCAATTGTGGCACATAAAGGGTACTTGTGGCTAAAAGCAGAGGTTCCCAAAAGAGAGTCTTCTAGAAGCTGTCACAGTTTCAAAGGACTTTTTTTTTTTCGTTCTTCTTTTTTTGACTCGGAAATTGTGAACTTGCCAGGAGGCATATGTCCGCAGGATTGGGGCATGTTTTGGCCCTGCAGCTGCGGCAGCTATCGACAAAGTATCGGATGGATCTGGAGTTAGGGGAGGAATGGGAAGCTCACCAGTATGCTCGCCAGGACATGGAGGTTAGTAAGCCCCTCTGTCATTATGATTATGGTCTTCACCTGAATACAACACACGTTCGTCATTTTTTTTATTTATTTTTTTTCCATGCTAATCTTCTCTGTATCATTCCAATTTTAATGGTGTCACACTGACTGCAAGCAAACCCATCCCACGTCCCAACCAAAATGAACAGAAACCCAAAGAGACCGAGCGGGCATTTAGTTGCATTGGTGGGATGCGATATTGGTTTGTGCCAAAACCATCTGAGGTCCCCCAAAGAGACCAGGCGGGCAGCTACCGTCTTCGCCCGAATAGAACGCCTGGTCGTTATAGCTGTATTTTTTGGCACAACTTTCGGTCCAGATGCGGCGATAATGACCGGGCGTTCTATTCGGGTGAAGACGGTAGTTGGATTGGTGGGACGCGATCTGGTTTGTCCCAAACAGTTTCAAAGCAAAACTGTTTGATTTTTGTGTGACCATGTCAAGGAGGAGGGAGGAGTTGATTGCACTCAAGAAGTTAATAGGACCAGAACATCCGAGGCCTCTTTTTTTTTTTTGTAGTGGCGGATGCGCACTGCACGCCAGGCTTTGCTGAAACCGTCAGCAGCACACTCTTTTTTTTCTTTTTGGCTGTCGCCGCCAGCCTAATTATGGTCTGGTAGTCCCGCGCCCCTGAAATTTTGGGCTGAGATTTTGGGATTGGCTCGATTTCGATTCTCGAGTTTTTGCTTGGGCGATGTACTGGCGGTGTAAGCGTAAAGTAAACCCACTATCACAGGGTTGACGGGCGAACTATGACCATATAAGATTTGTCAGTGAATGCCAGTCGACTAACAGAAAGTTACGGTTGATTCGACAGCTGCGACAGTTATGACATTTGTATGGTGTGGACTCTGTGGAATATGTTTTGCTGTAATGTGGAAAAATTGGAACGATACAGAGAAGGAAGATTAGCATGGCCCCTGCGCAAGGATGACACACATAAATCGAGAAATGGTCCAATTTTTTTTAGAAAAAAAGGGAAAAAAGAAAGGATCATGGGCCGTTTGCAGAACATCGCAAACAGCAGCTTGGGATGTTGTGTATGTGAACAGCTGGAGTTCATCTGTGCGTCCATCTTTTGGAGCAGATGTCACAATCGGCCCACAGGCTTATCTGCTTTCTCACAGTGTGCATTGGCGACTGTCACAGGAGGAATTGTCGTCAACTTTTTGACGGCTTCTGAAGTTCCACTGCTGCGCTCTATCGAGGAAGGATGTGGCATATGCATGGACGAGATGCCTATACATGTAAATCTCTCTCTCTCTCTCTCTCTCTCTCTCCCTGGGCGCACCCATCTCCTGTGCACCTTTCTTCTGCTGTCCCCTTTTCCCTCCCTTATCATCCCTCTTGTGTCTGTGCTTTCCTCTGCCTCTCCCACTTTCTCTTGCTCTGTGGCTGCCGAGCTGTTTTGGTCCCACGGTTCTTCACCAGAAACCTCTGTGATTCTCTCTCATCCTCTGCTCATCACACTTAAAAGGAAGAGTAGAAGATTGATGTTCTTTATGCTGCAATTTAAGCCACCAGTGCTTAACCCTTTCTTTGCCAAACCTAGAAACGCCCTGCGTGCCAAAAAAAACGAACCGGCGTGTTTTGCTTGTGACTGGCGCCGCCAGCCACTTAGCTCTGCTAGGCCATATGCCCCAAAAGTCACGGCGCATGCATGGCGGCTTCGGAGAAAAATGGCTGGGAAATGCACTGGTGGTTGCAGGCCTCCAGTTCATGCATAGCCCCAGTAGCCCACGAGTACGTGGTAAGAAACTGGTAGGTACCTTGCAGGCAACGGGTACCCAACTGCCATCTTCCCCGAGACATACGCATATGCGTTGTATTCAAAAACTCCCAAAAGATTCATTCGTAAAAAGTCGGTCCACCTTAACCTTTTTTTCAAAATAAAAAGGGCAGAGCACGTATGTGGTGTAGTAGGATAGAAGGCATATGCTTTCTATCTGGATCTCTGGTGAACGGAAGCTGCTCTACTTGAATACAATACCAACCTTTTTCTCCCCCTTCTAACCATCGATTGGTGGCTGTCCATCAGTGAGGAGAGAACCCCCCCACCCTTCGGGAGGACTCACCTCACCCCATGGGTCTACGTTTGCTCCTGCTACTACAGGTTTGCACTGTGGTCCCAGTGGGACTTGGCTGCACGTCACACGGTCTGTTCCCTGGGTTTCTTGCAACTCTCCCTGCCCAACCTTGAGCCGCAGTCCCTTCTGGTAGTGCACAGGACAAAGCACCGGACTGCACTGTATATGGAAAACTTCAGGCCAGCACAGGAAAACCGGGCCTGCTCTACCCGGAACACTACCCCCCCCCTCGTCGTCATAAAGTCGCTTCAACAAGCTCAAATAAAGAACGCGTATGCGGTTTTAACAAATAGAACGCAACCTATGCCGTGTATTTGTTTAGAACATATGCGTTGTGTTCTGCGGGAAGGCGCTAGTACTTAGTGGAGGCAACTGGTATCTGGTATGCAATCGGTACCAGATACACACGTGGGACACCTGGTAGCCAACTGGGACCTATTAGCCGAGTTGAACAGAATTTTGTTAAGGATAGCGACGTACCAAAGTTTGAACGTCGAATCCTGTGCTCATGTAGTGAATTCCAACTTTCCATTTCTGTTTATGGAGTTTGTGGCACTTTGTGCATCTCGTCACTCACTTTTTTCCCCCTTTTCTTTTTTGTTTCTTGCATTGCCTTAGCCATCAGGTCATTCATTGTTGGAGGCCCAACTTGTGGATTTAGGGACAAGGTGTGTAGGTCGTGTGACTTGTGTCTGGATGCAGCATGTGAAAAAGAACGAAGAACGGCTTTTTGTCGTGAAGCAGAAGGCCAGCCAGGGGAGGAATGCTTCTTTGGTAGGGCTGGAAGGGAAGTGGAGGAGCCAAAAGCAGGGATAGTAGTAAATAAACAAGAAAAAAAGAAAAAAAGAAAAAGTAAGGGTTCTGAGCATGTGAGATGGGGCTTGAGTTTATGTGGCAAGGCCAAGGCTACCTCATTCCTCCCGACCCCCCTCTTGAACACAACAGTTTTCTTTTTTTGTGTGAAAGGAAAGCTGTCTTCTCCTCATAGTGAAGACATCTGTATTCGCTACATTGTTTTCTTCTCTCAATAGTTTTCCACCTCACTGTAGCTACCTACATACCTCATGCTATCTTAACCACGTATCTCGCCTGGCGGAATTCCACATTTACGCACAGAATGGCGACATCATCTATCCAATCTACTCTCACCCTTCAACGGCCCGCTAGGTGGCCTAAGCCTATGTCTATCCGCTCTACACCTCACACTAACTGCCATCGGGAATCGCTAGAGGGAATTGCTAGAGGGAACCCACCTTACATCTATCCACTCTTTACTCTGTGTCGTAAAAATCCAAATTCGTACTAGGGGTTAGGAGCCCTGCGGGGAGTAGTACCCAGGCTCCTAACCCTTGGTACGAATTTGGATTTTAACGTGCTGGTGTTTTTTAACTGTAGGACGCTTTGATCCGAAACTGACTCCAATTCGCCAGGCGGCTTCCTGGAAGCGGGAATTCTTTCTTTGTCGGTGTTGCATCCACCCATCAAGAAACTGTTAAGTAGACGAGTCCAAGCGAACCCACTCAAAATCTTCACTAAACTATGACCAGCCATCATATTGGAAAATAAACCAGTCCAGAGATGAGATTTTGTCTATGCAATACCTACATCTATCTGCAACACATTGTGCCTGAGGAACAAGTCCTCGTAGCCTTCCATGCTTTAAAAGATGAAGCGGCTAGTTTTGCCAGGTCCCTCGCACGAGCAGCCAATTGTGAAAACAATATGGTTGCGTATTCCAAACTCACCCTTCTTCACAAATTCACTCCTTAGAGAGAGATTTGCAGACGTCACGCGAGGCGTCAAGGCCTCTGATAAACTGCAAACGATCCACTCGTGACAGTGGAAGAGTGCAAGGGCACTCAAAGCAGTTATGGATGATCTAGTGGCCATCCCAGACCACGGGGTCACTGAGACACAGTTAGTTAATTTATTCTATCGTGCCATGCCAGAGCCCTTACGAGGGCATTTCTTTGAGAAAACTCAACAATCCACCATCACGTACGACGTGTTGAGTAGAGAGGTGGTCCTGTTTGAGGCCAAATCCATGCCAGTGTCCACTTTCTGGCATAAGGATTTAGATAAGGGGAAAAAGTGGAAGGGTCGTACCATCTCGGTCAGGTCAGGGGAAAGGATCACCTGATCCTTACTTTAGATGAGGGTGGTACTGTCGAAGTTCCCTACAGTCAAGATAGAGTGGGGGCTTGAGGAAGAAGACAGTAGTGTAGGTCAGGGGAGGACCTACGCTGCTGTCGCGGCCGGAGGGAGGCTGCAAAGTAGAGGAGGAGGCCAGGGCCAAGGGGGCCGGGCCATGGGTGGTCGAGGTCCGGGCGCACAGGGGGTTGGCGGCCAAAGGAACCGCCAAGAGGGAGGTAGGGGTCAAGGTCCCCCGCCAAATTGTTCGGGGCCTAGTCGATCACCACAGCGTAGAGGTGGAGGATCACCTCAACGGAGAGGAGGTTGGCACCCAGGTTGGCCACAGGGCCGGCCTTGGGAAGATCTCGGCTTGGACCAGAGGGTGTGGCAACCACGAATGGAGCAGGGGCAGTGCATCTATTGCGGTGACCCTGCCCATATTATTAAATATTGTCCAAAGTATAGAGAAGCCCGATGTGCTGCCCAGGGGTCAAAAGGCAGTCGTCGGTAGGGGTTGCAACTGCCGTTACCATTAGGCCATGTGGGAAAGTGTGTGTGCACCACCAGGAAACTCCCACACCATATGAGTCTTTGGCAGAGGTTGCAGGCCAGTGCCTAGTTAGCTGTCCAGAGACTGCCTGTGTTAGTCTCTCTAGGCACCTCCCTCACAGGTCTGGCAGAAGAATTGAAGGAGAGGATGTCGACCTGGGCCAAAATGAAGAAGGAGAGCAAAGGACAACTTGTGTTAGTAGACTTGAAGTTTTTAGAAGTAGAGTAGGGGCCCTTATAGACATAGGGGCTACCTGTAGTTATATTAGCCGAAAAGCGCTAAGGAAGCTTAGGCTAGGTTTTAAAGTCCATAAGTTGGAAGACCCCATAGTTAGTGTCCTCGCAGACAACCGCACGATGCGTGTTGAGGATTATGTCGAGGGAGTCCAGGCGTATCTTCGCCTAGAAAAAGATGGCAAGGTGGAAAAAGTCCTCCATTCACTGACTCTCCTCGTAGAGGACAACCTCCCTTTCGATATAGTCCCAGGTATGGACTGGGGAGAGGTAGCAGGGGCCACACTCCACTTAAGAGAGCATGAGTGTAGGCTCCCTAGTCCATCAGGCGAAGTTAAGACTGCTCGCCTGTTTCATGTGTCAGGAGTAGATAACTCTCTGGCACATTGCTGCCTCAGTGCTCTCGCGTTCGCGCGATTATTTAAAAAGGAGTAGTTAGAAGAACATGTCTTTGTAGCCTATGTTAAGCCTGTGATGAGCCTACGGAAGACAAGCCCATAGACCCAGCTATTGCCAAGCTGTTGGAAGAGTTCAACGATTTGGCAGAGCCGCCAACAGGAGTAGTACCGCGGCCAATCCAGCATCGAATCGAAATAGAGCCCGACAGTAGAACTCCTAAGGTTGCGGTTTACATGATGTCCCCAAGGGAGTTAGAGGAGTTGCGTAAACAGCTAGACGAACTCCTCGGAAAAGGGTTGGATTAGGCCCAGTTCGTCTCCTTTCGGGGAACCCGTTTTGTTTGTCCCCAAAAAGGAGGGAGAGTTGCGTATGTGCATCGATTATAGGGGTCTGAATGCAATTACAGTGAAGAATGTTGAGCCGCTGCCCAGTTAGACGATCTTTTAGACCGGGTGCAGGTCTGTAGGTATTTTTCAAAAATAGATTTGAAGTCCGGATATCATCAGATAAAAGTTCATCCTGATGACCAATATAAGACTACTTTCCAGACTAGATATGGGCATTATGAGTTCATCGTGATGCCCTTTGGACTGACCAATGCGCCAACCACATTCCAAAGCTGCATGAATGATGTATTCAAGCCTTGGTTAGATAGATTCGTTGTAGTTTACCTAGACAATATATTAGTTTTCAGTAGGACCCTCCAAGAGCATCCGGATCATTTGAGGCAGGTCTTGGAGAAGTTGAGAGAGACTAACTTCAAGATCAATGCGAAAAAGTGCAAGTGGGCCAAGACACAAGTTTTGTACTTGGGCCACATCTTAGACGAAGATGGAATTAAGCTTGAGGATAGCAAGATAGCAGCGATTAGAGATTGGCCGACGCCCCGTACGATGACAAAATTGCGGTCGTTTTTAGGCCTAGCTAATTATTATAGGAAGTTTGTGAGAAACTTCTCCGCCATCGCCGCTCCCCTTCGCAGGCTGCTCAAGAAGGATGCAATCTGAAAGTGGGACAAAGATTGTACATCCGCTCTTAAGAAGTTAAAGCGAGCGTTGATAGAGTACCATGTCCTCAAGGTGGCAGATCTGTCCTTGCCATTTGTCGTCACCACGAACGCAAGTCAGTATGGTATAGGCGCCATATTGCAGCACGGCGACGACAATGGCTACAAACCCATAGAGTTTATGTCAGCAAGGATGCCTTCAGAAAAAGTAGCTACCTCGACTTACGAGAGAGAACTCTACGCTCTCAGGCATACCTTAGAGAATTGGAAGCATTACCTGCTTGGGAGGCACTTCAAAGTTTATTTAGACCACGAGACCCTTAGGTGGCTGAAAATGCATTTTTTTTGTAAAAGGAGATTACTTTGACCTCTCTATTGACTCAAGGAAGAATATATATACATATAAACAGAAAATAAATCTAAAATAGACAACAATGTAGATTTATTTTCTGTTTATATGTATATTCTTTCATTCTCTATTACATTAATTATTACATAATCTCTCAAATGTATATGTATATGAACTCTAAAATGTATATGTATATGAATTTCATTATGACACCTAAGCTAACTAGGTGGGCCACTGAAATAGATCAGTATGACTTTGAGCTCAAACCAGTCAAAGGCAAGTACAATGTAGTTGCGGATGCTCTAAGTAGGAGATCAGATTACTTTGGAGCTATAGTTCACTCTCTGGATATAGGGAGAGACCTGCAAGAGAAAGTAAGACAGACATATGTGCAGGATCCTATTTATAGTGATCTCCTCACGAAAGTTAAGGAGGCCCCGAAGACTGAACCAGATTATCGCACTACAGAGGGACTACTGTTCGAAAAGACCAATGTAGTAGACCGTCTGTGCGTTCTTAATAATGAAGAGATCCGTATTTTGATCTTAGGGGAATGCCACGACACAGAAGGACATTTCGGTTGGCAAAAGACTCTAGCCAATCTGATGCATGCGTATACTTGGCCAGGAATGAAAGCCGACTGCATAGAGTACGTTCGCAGTTGCAAATTTTGTCAAAGGAACAAGACAACTACGCGTGCCCCTCTAGGCCTTCTTCGACCCTTGCCTATTCCTGACCAGCCTGGAGATTCAGTATCCATTTATTTCATGGATGCTGGTGTCAAAAGTAGGCATGGAAAGAGCCAAGTCATGGTGATTGTTGATAGATTTAGGAAATATGCTGGTTTTGTTCCCTTACCCGCAGAAGCTCGTACAGAGTTAGTAATTCAAAAGTTTTTTGACTTTTGGGTTAGTGATCATGGACTCCCATTGTCCATAGCCAGTGACAGGGATACCCGGTTTACAAGCCAGAACTGGCAGGAGTTAATGAGAGTATACGGGTCAAAGTTGTTAATCTTGTCTGGCCGTCACCCCGAGACTAACGGTCAGACTGAGCAGATGAATAAGATCCTGCAACAAGTTCTGCGCATGTATATTAGACCAGATCAAGTCAACTGGGATGAGATGTTACCCAAGGTAGCCAGTGCATATAACAACAGCGTGCACCTAGCCACTTGTCGTACTCCCAATGAGCTACATAAGTCCTTTAGACCGCGCAGACCGTTTGACGGACTTAACCGGGACCAGATTCATAGGCTATCGCCCGGTACTAGGGAGTTTGCGATTCAGCACGAGAAGGAATTAGCTACCGTTGTTGAGAACCTCAGGAAGGCCCAACATAGAATGATAGAACAGGCTAACAAGCACCGTCGCCCTCAAGTAGGCGACCTAGTCTGGGTCAAGTCTAAAGAGTTTGCTCCTGAGGAAAACATTTCGCAGAAGTTACTGCCAGCATACAGAGGACCGTGGACAGTTCTAGAAGTTAAGGGCGGAGAGGATGGACCGTCCTATACGATAGAGATCCCAGCACACCTCCACACCTACCATGTGTTTCATGCATCGAAGTTGCTCCCGTGTGTCACAAGTCACCAATTTCCATCGAGAAGATCCATGATCCCTCCAGACATGGATGGGAGGTACGACATTGAGGGCATTGTAGGTGAAGACGTGTTTAGAACAGGAGGTAGAGGTCATCCACAGAAACAGTATAAGGTCTGATTTGCTTATCAGGAACCCGAGGACGACCGCTGGTTTACCAGGACTGCACTTCTAGAAACAGCTCCCGACATAGTTAGAGCCTACGAGAGAGATAAGAAAGGTAAAAATCAGGTCTTGGACTGAACTATTCTCGGAGGACCTCGAATTTAGGCCAGCGGGAGTGAAACGGTTTTCACCTTAGCAGTAACAGATGCCGATCCACGGGCTCGATCCGTAGACCTTACTTTGCCTGTGTACAGTATCTCGTTGTCCCCTGAGTGTTCGAACCCTTAACCTGTGTCTTGATAGTTGGGTTTTTGTGTGTCGTAGGGATGTGTAGTTGTACGGGCTCGATCTTTAGGTCTATAGAGTAGGGGTCGTAGCTGTTCTAGAAGCCGTAGCTGTAGCAATTCTGAAAGGTCAAGGTCGTAGCTGCTACAGTCCTGAAAGGTCAAGGTCGTAGCTGCTACAGTTCCGAAAAGCCAAGTCTACGGACTTCCGGAACGTCCGGAAGTGGCCTTTCGAGAATTCTTACGTTTGGCCAGAGGCAAGTGGGCAAGTGGTGAGTCCACCCATGTTGAGTCAGCGGTACCCAGTCCCAGTCTCACTTAGTCCAGTCAGCAAGTACCATGTGGGACTGTGTGCACCATGGGCCCGGTGGAAAGAGGCAGACCAGCGACTTCCAGAAGTATAAATCAAGAGGCAGCGTCCAGCCATACATTCATTCCTGCGTAAGCCATGCGGAAGCGCTGCCTGAGCGACTTGTGCGAGGTGGTCTGCACAGTGCCCGAAGACGAAGTGGGCTGAAGGAGATAATAGTTAGCCATAGCCACAGAGGGACAGCGGCCATAGCCGCCATAGCTGATAGGCGAGTGTATGAGTACGAGATTGTGTGTATGCGTGTGGGATATCCAGGGTGATCCCGACTTGAGTGAGTGCGAACAGTGGTGTTGGATAGAGTGACGAGAGTCGGGATCTACAGGTGCTGATGCGCCATAGCCTGTTGAAGCGAGTTTGTATCTGAACTGTGTTCTCGATCTCCATATCTTTGAGCTTTGAGTGGGCGCTGTGCGCCAGTGTGATCCACCATCTGTTTGCGTGTGTGCGAAGAGGAAGAAAAAGTGAGTCTGATTGCAATAGTAACATACAAATATAATGGCCAGGCATGGTGTTTTGGGGAAGGAGGTAGCAGTGTCCTGATGTGGGACTGCGGGAGGTGTGATCCTTTCCGAGGTCCCACAGTCCCACAGCTATCTGCAAACGAGAATTTGGAACCCAGATTATTGAGGGTCCCAGGCTTCGACACAGTTGAGGGTTTTTTTTTTTTTTTTTTTTTTTTTTTTTTTTTTTTTTTTTTTAAACAGTTTTAAATTTTAATTTGTTTGCCTTCTTTTAATATTTTGGATAAGCATTTATTTAAATTATTTTTTGTGTTTTTTTTATATTTTCTATGTTATTAGTACTTATTACTATCTATAATTGATTTCTTTTCTAATTATTTTTTGTAGTGCGTTCAATGTCGTTCATCAATGACGACTGGATGCTGGAGCACCCCTGCTTCACCTGGCGTTCACACTAAGGGATGGAAGTCTCAACTCTTCCTCCATCCTTAAACCACCAGTACCTACCGGTTGGGACGACCGTTAACGCGGAAGCCGAATCGGCCTGCCCCTCCGGTCGAAACTCATTCGGGGGTCGGGGGTTACGGAAAATGTGGTAGGTACTGGTCGTTTAGTGACCCATCCGTATTCATCATAGATACAGAAGATTGTGCGACCTACAGAACAGATCTTGTCCCAAGTACCGCTGTGTGATGTTCTCGTATCCAGCAACAAAATCCAAAATTGGCTAAAAAAAAAAGAAAAAAAAAAAGGGAAGACGGATTCAGCCGTGAAAAAAAAAAAAATAAAAAAAATTAACTAAGTCTTTTGTTGCTCGTGTCTGGTTTGTCCGTCTTCTGGTGTTCAATGATTTGTCGCTTGCAGATTTGTGAGCTTCTCTAAGGATGCTCTGTATGAAGGAGTGAAGCGACAAAGAACGGGTGCTGATGGCCATCCACTGGCATGCAGTCATGCTGAAGTGAAAAACACCATCAGGGTCCATCACCAACCGTATAGAAGAGGGAGAGGGAGAAATTACCCAATCCTGACATAGGGAGAAGAGCGAGGGGGAGGACGGACACATGGCAGTTTTCTTTCGGAGAGACCGATTTGTATAACAAACAACGAGGGTGTTTCCTTTCAGATCCATGAAAAAACAAAGTCTCAAAAGGGGACTCCATCAAGGGGGCATTCAAACGTGGGCAATTGGGCAGAGGGGACTCCATCAAGGGGGCATTCAAACGTGGGCACTTGGGCAGTTTGCAGACGAACATGCCTGAGGATTTTTTTTTTTTTTTTTTTCCGTCTGGCCGAAGGAACCCTGACCAGCATTGATTACTCCCGCATCGTGGAGGATTGATTGTCAGCTTGCCTTACTTGCACCTTTCCTCTCAGGTCCACTACATGAGCCTGCCAGATAAATAATAAAGAGCAAGAAAGGTAAGAGAAGCTACGGAAGTTGCAGTCTCCGGATTTGTTCTTGACATAACCATGCAAATTTGTTTCTGTGTGAAATCTTTTTCTACGATCGAAGTTCACCGAACACAACGGAGTCTGTTTCAATGTTTCTATATGTGGTCTTAACATCTATTGAGCTGTATTCATATTATTATGATCCTTACAATTCACTCCCTAGCCCCTCACCTTCACCCCTTCCCCTTCCCCAATGCCCTCAACACGTCTGGCCTCCCTCCCCCCTCATCTCTCTCTCTCTCTCTCTCTCTCTCTCTCTCTCTCTCTCTCTCTCTCTCTCTCNTCTCTCTCTCTCTCTCTCTCTCTCTCTCTCTCTCTCTCTCTCTCTCTCTCTCTCTCTCTCTCTCTCTCTCTCTCTCTTGCTCGCTCGCTCGCTCTCGCTCACGGCTGGGCTGCCCGGGCAAACAAGGTGATCCGGGCGGCCCGGCTGGTAGCCTAGCTAAAATACCATTTATAACTCGATAGAAGATTGCAAGGTAAGGCTGTTTCGATTTGCAGTCCCCTCGTCTGGGTGGAAGAGGGGTCGTTGTGGTGACGGTCTAAAACACACACACAGATACACAGAGTGTGGGATTTGTGATTTTCTTTGGATGCTGTGTAACTGCTTTGTTCGCATCGTAATTGTTGGAAGTCACTTCCCCCCCCCCCCCCCCCCCTCCCAAAAAAAAAGGTGGAAGGGTCTTACGCCATTCTATGCGGTGGGCGTATCCACCATTATTCCTTGGCGTTGCAACTGTGGCCACATTTTTCTATGGGTGCTGATGCACCCTATACATTGCAACTTAGGCCCACTCATCGAGTTAGGGGGAAAAAAAAAAAAAAACTGTCCTTCGGGAGGGACATCCGTTAAAATTGGAACGATACAGAGAAAGAAGATTAGCATGGCCCCTGCGCAAGGATAACATGCATAAATCGAGCAATGGTTCAAATTAAAAAATAAATAAAAGAAAATAGATGAACTGCTGCCATCAACAGGTTTCCCTGTCTCGCTCAGGAGGGAAAAAGAAAAAAGAAAAAACTTCAAAAAAGAAACTGCTGTCATCAGGGGAGAGGTCCCACTAGCAATGGGATAGAATAGAAACGAGTTTGTGGGGCAGTCGAGTGACCCAAATCCTGCCGTGCTGCACTCGTGTAAAAGGGCCTTTACCTGATTCAGACCCTGAATGACGAACGCAGCATTATGGGGTCACTCGGCCAGAGCCTAACTCGTGAAAAGCAGATCAAAAGACATGTTCTCTGGGTCAAAAGTCACATCCTAACTAAAGTAAAAAGTCATGTCAAAGGTCACAGTTGTGCCCCTGGACGAACGATTGCAGTATTCAATTGTGGGAGTCACATCTGTTCATCCAGGGGGTGTGCAAGTCATGTCTGTTCGTACAGGAGATGTGTCTGCTCATACAGGAGATGTGTCTGTTCGTGCAGTAAGTGCGTCTGTCGAACAGTAGGTGTGTCTGTTCATAAAGAAGTCAAAGAGATAAGGTCCCAGTCCAGATTCAAGTCAAAGGGAAAGTCTAGATACAGATTGGAAGTCCGAAATTCATGCCTAAAGGCCGCCGCAGCAGCAGCCCTTGAGGATAAGGAACTGGGACACACTCCACAGAGGCCTGGGACTGGGAAAGGACCCAAGAAAGACTGAATTCAGACCTCGCAAAGGGAGGGCAGCACTATAAGAAACGAGGCAGCCTCCCTTCAAGGCAGATTCTCCATTGGCATTGATGCGTGGAAGTGCTGTGGCACTTGTGCGCTAGAGTGCAGGAAGAGGGCGCTGGCTTGAGAGCTGCGCCAGGAAGGAGAGGTGCTGGGCGCTGACTGGCAGAAGCAGCCATAGCTGCGCCAACTATATTAGTAGAGATAGAAGGGTTAGTAGTAGGTATCAGTGAGTAGCATTCAAAGTAGATTCTCGTAGATAGGGAGTGTGCATGCATGGTGAGACGAGGGAACTAGGACAGAGATCTTGAGAGAGAAGAGAGAGAGAGGGGACAGGTTCCTAAGTTGGATATGGTAGATACTTACCTGTTGGCGCCATACCTGTGATCTGAGGGGAGACACTGGCTGAGCCAGGCCCTTTGTTGATGAATGATTGAAGAAGACTTGTGATCTGTTTGGCGCTGGACTCTTGAACTCAAGATACTCTTTATATAATGTGACTTTGATAATATGAGCTGCGCTATCTGGTTCTCTTTCCATCTCGCCTTGGCTTTCTGTGAGACTACTTCATCTGTGTGATGACATTTACACATGCACTGTGAACACTCCAGCAAGCTGTGAACAGTCAGGTTCCTTGCACGTGATCCCACGGTCAGTATTTTACATGTATTACCCAAATTGTTCCCCTCCTCCTCTCCTTAACACTGGGCATGCCCGTGCAAAGAAAGCTTCCCGCCAGAATCTTTTCAATTGGTTGGGCGTGTGGCCAACCCCAAAGGAGAGTGGGGTTGGCCTTAGGCCCACTGGATAGAAGATTTTCAGTATTTTACTTGCTGTTGTGCAATTATCTCATTGGGTGGAGCCCTCCTTCAATCACGGAGTATGTGGAGGGTGTCAGGATCACTGCTGACAGAAGTCGAGTTTATTCCAGAAAATGTGGCGGTTGCTGTGTTCACTGTTGTTGCAACCACCACCATCAGATCATTTGTGATCTGATGGCTGGGAAGCCCTCTGCCGGGATTTCCGGTGGGAGGTCTCCGTTTCTCTTTTTTTTTTTGCCTTCCTCCTGTTTTCTCAGCCCAGAAATTCGTAATGAACCTGTCAGGTCGCTGCCACTCAGTGTCACACTGGATCGCCCACACTCCTATCTGACTGCTAATGGGACCTCGCCCCAGAGTCCAGAAGGATCCCGCTGGAACAGCACACCGGACAGAAACATATTTAAAAAAAAAAAAACTGTGGATTGAACTGGATTCCCACTCTCATTGTTGGATTGGTGGAGCACCATCGACAAGAGCCTGTCACGAAGCGGCATGATGGTCTGACAAAAGGCTCTTGCAGTCCTGACCAATGGCCACTGGCGAGGCCCAAGGTGTCGGCATGTGATGATGGTTGGAAGAGACTGCAACCTCAATTAGAAATTTAAAATACTCGGAATTCATAAACACTGTCGCACATAATTTGGCACTGCTATACTGTAGGGATAAAAAAGGAAGAGAAACCGACCTCGATTCGTGTAAGTCATTGGCACTGTCAACAGTGTCAAGCCATGCTAACTGTCACACATTCACAAGTCATAAGCACTGTCCCAGTGTCAAGCCCAATCATCTGTCACACATTCACAAGCCATAAGCACTGTCATTAGTGTCAAGCCCAATCATCTGTCACACTTTCATTAGTCATAAGCACTGTGTCAAGCCATATTTATCTGTCACACATTCAGAAGTCATAACCACTGTCAACAGTGTCAAACCATACCATCTGTCACACAGTCATAAGTCACAATCACTGTCAACAGTGTCCAGCCATATCATCTGTCACATTCATAAGTACTGTCAACAGTGTCAAGCCATATTTATCTATCACATAGCAGCAACAAGAGGCCTCGTGTAGTCAGGATTGGTCATCCCGCATTCCTTGATCCTGACTTCTCTCTTGGTTTCCCCCCCCACTCCCCCCCTCTCTCTCTCTATCCTTTCCCTCTCCCTCCATCTGTCTCCATCCGTCTCCATGTCAATTCCCTCTGCCTCCATCTGTCCCGATATCCTTTCTTCACCCTTCATCACCCTTCAGGATTGGTCATCCCGCATTCCTTGATTCTGACTTCTGTCTTGGTCTCCCCCTCTCCTCTCTCTCTCTCTCTCTCTCTCTCTCTCTCTCTCTCTCTCTCTCTCTCTCTCTCTCTCTCTCTCTCTCTCT